GTTCCACAAGGTCAATTGAAAGCAACAAAGTACAGTTATGAGGCAGAAAGAGAAGATATCTTAAAATAAAATTCTTTGAATTATTGATATAAAGAACCAAAGCAGAATGTTTCTTTGTGGGCAAGGGAAGCAACCTAGAAGGTGAGGGAGTTGATATAGATTAACATTGAAGCTTGTGTTGGTTTGGTGCACTGAAGCAATTGGTAGTGACAGACTGCCTACTAGTATGCAACTGCCTTGAGTAATGCAAGCAGGTACTTTTAAACACTCAAGTTGGATGCATGACGTTTATTTTTTTTTGTCACGCTTTTGCTTTAGCAGTTACATTTGTATTTTAGGGAGGGGGATTTGTTTTGTGATCCAGGTCTGATGCTCATACTCCCTGATTAGAGAGCAACATTTTCATTTTTAATTTTACTTTTGCAATGTTCACATCCAGCTGACAGGTTCTAATTTGAAGCAGCAACAAGCTTGTGTAAATGAACATTAGAGAGCGGGAAGGATAGTATAAAAAAACAAAACAAACATTGCTAAGATCTACAAGGATAGGAAGTTGTAGAGAGTCATGATCAAACTCTCTAAATGAAGAATAGAGAGCGGGAAGGATAGTATAAAAAAACAAAACAAACATTGCAAAGATATACAAGGATAGGAAGTTGTAGAGAGTCATGATCAAACTTTCTAACAAGCTTGTGTAAATGAAGAATAGAGAGCGGGAAGGATAGTATAAAAAAACAAAACAAACATTGCTAAGATCTACAAGGATAGGAAGTTGTAGAGAGCCATGATCAAACTCTCTAACAAGCTTGTGTAAATGAAGAATAGAGAGCGGGAAGGATAGTATAAAAAACAAAACAAACATTGCTAAGATCTACAAGGATAGGAAGTTGTAGAGAGCCATGATCAAACTCTCTAACAAGCTTGTGTAAATGAAGAATAGAGAGCGGGAAGGATAGTATAAAAAAACAAAACAAACATTGCTAAGATCTACAAGGATAGGAAGTTGTAGAGAGCCATGATCAAACTCTCTAACAAGCTTGTGTAAATGAAGAATAGAGAGCGGGAAGGATAGTATAAAAAAACAAAACAAACATTGCTAAGATCTACAAGGATAGGAAGTTGTAGAGAGCCATGATCAAACTCTCTAACAAGCTTGTGTAAATGAAGAATAGAGAGCGGGAAGGATAGTATAAAAAAACAAAACAAACATTGCTAAGATCTACAAGGATAGGAAGTTGTAGAGAGCCATGATCAAACTCTCTAACAAGCTTGTGTAAATGGATGGCAGAACAGGGACTGGGAAGAATAGTTGAAAGACAAAAATAAGAGCTACAAAAGGTCAGGAAGTTGTGGAAAGCCATAATCATCCACATCCTGAAGAAGACTACGAAAAGATACATCCACAAAAATCAATTTGTGTGCAACTTTTTTGTAAAAGAAATATGAAAAAAAGAAAGAAAAATCAAACTAATTTTAATGACCAAAAAAACATGCATTTGCTGAGAAATATTCCCACAAGCACAAAATATGACACAAGATTAAGTTTAATGTTGCACCCCATATGCGTACATGTTGGTAGAAGTAAAACATGTGCAGATACCTGGCATTGGCTTTTATCCTGAAAAAAAAAAAAAAATTAGATAGTTACCAATCAAATGGATATATGTATTCTGAAATGTAAGCAAAAAAAATAAATAAATATATAAAAAAATGCTACTCTATTTTTAAAAAATTTGGTAGCATTTTTTTTTTTTTTTAAAACAAAAATCAGAAAATTAATTGATTTTAAAAAACCTTTCAGCAGTTATTCATTAATAAATGAATTATATACTGAATAGGTTATTTCATTAGAAAACTTTTTAAAAATATTTTTATTTTCTGGTAAATCTCATCGCCCTTTTTTTCTCCCCCAATATATCATGTGCACTTTTCAATTTGGAGAAGATCTATAAACCTTCTTTACAGTTATATAAAGAAAAGACCCTACTTTAATAAAAAAAAATGATGCAACATCATGTGTAAACATACTGAAAATTTGTCTTAAACCTTACTTTTATTGTATCTTTTCATTTTACAACTGTTAGATTATTTTTTGTATGGAAGTTCAAAAAGTAAATGGTAATATTGATATGTTGCAACTGCTATGTGGAAGATAATCTGAGAAGTAACAGTTTAGGAGGGAAGAAAGGACAAAAAAATGGAAAAAAAAAAAAGAAGCCACTTTTAAGAGTCAAAAGAATTTCTTGAATGTCATGCTTCTAACTTGTAATAGCACTTTTTCTATTTTATCAATTATTTTTATTAGGATTTATAAAGTTAGGGATAAAATAATGCCATAAAGAAGTTGTAATTGACATGAAAATTCTGTTTTTACAATGTTTTCTAATAAAAAATAACCATCAATGAATAAGTGCTGAAAATCTCATTGTGATATCACTATTCCCTGATTATTTAAAAAAAATAAAAATATGATGGCAGTATTTTCAATTTTTTAAAAAAAAGGTTTGCACAATGGTTGGAGGTGTTTATAATTTTCATAGCCATTTAGTCTGAAAGAAATCAACTAACACTAACAATTCAGTAATATTTTTATCAATTTTTCCCATTTTTAGTAGCTATTTCATTAGACTTAATCAGACAGGTAAGAAAACATTAAAAAACAATAAAAGCAATGAATTAAACTCAAAAGTATCATTTAACTAGTTTTCCATTAATGTGTTATTTTTTATACTAATCTTATTCTAAATGTAGTATAAAAATAAAATTAATTTTCAGAAAAACAGAATAAAAATTTAAATTCTTAAAATACTGGTTATAAGGTTAACAATTTATTTGTGAACTCAATTTTTTTATTGTTGCATTGTTGGTCTACTGTATTTAATTTTTTTGTATGGATTTTAAAAGTCAGGAGTGATAGTAGACAACTACTGTTGTTGACCTATGACCTGGATGATAGCTCCCCGGGATACTGTGCAGAAACAAATGTTATTTTCACTATAAAAGTAATAATTAATTATACAAAATCCAGTTAATTAATCCTTAAATTTACTTTGAAACAAATCTCCAGGACAAATATATTGTATTTTAATGCGATTTTTAAATTTGCTGTTTAGTTTACATTTTTCAAATGGAGGTGTGACTCTGCCAATGTTTTAAAAATATCTAAAAACTTTATTTACATATATCAAATTATTTTTTATTTTTTATGGATTATCTTTTTAGGATGTTATCTTTCAAATAAAACCAAAGTTCAAGTTTTAAGATATTTAAATTATTTAAAATGCATTTTTCAGTTTTTTTTTTGTTTTTTTGAAACAAATTTATGGTGGTACCGCGCATTAAATTAAAGTCACTGAATTAGGCCCAGAAGAGCAGGTCTCTTCGAAGCTGAGAGAGTTGCATTTCTGGACCGAGTATTTCCCAACATTTTTGTTAAGGAATTAAGTAAATTATGTCAGTTATCTTATTTGTTATTTCATTTCACTTAACTTTTTTCTTTTTTGCTTCATACTTTTAGGGCAGTACTGATTTTTGACGTCGGACACACGAGTGATGGTTGAAGAAAAACTACAAGAAACAAAACAGGAAGGCGTGAGGCAGTTCAGAAATTTCGTACCTATCCCTTAAAAAGATTTTACTTTGGATTGAAATCAAAATATATATATAGAGAGAGAGAGAGAGAAAAGGAAAAAAAGAAGCTGTAATTGCTTCATCATCCCCATTTTTGTATTGTGCTTTTGCTTCAGAAAACTATTCGTTTGCTAGGGTGACGTGCATTTAATGGGCGCAACAACCAGTTTTTAAAAATTAACAAAAACATAGGTAAAAAAAAACCTTATGCTGAAAATTAAAGGAGGACTTGAATTAACTTGGCAGCAATTTTTGGCTCACATTTATTAAAGGAAAAAAAAATTAAAAAGCACGAGGCAATTATACGCAAACTTTGTCAGAACTAAAAATTCGAAACTTTTACTTTAAACACGTGTTTTTTGCATTTCAACAAAAAGGTGTTCAACTTCTGCAAAAAATATATAAATAAATAATTGAGACAAAAAATTCTACTACAATTCTCCAGTATAATAAGATATCCGTAGAGAATTGTGGGAAGAAAAAAATAAAAAGCACGTAGACTTTCTTCTCTTGGTAAAGAAAGAAAGACATTTTTCTCCGACACTGACAGTATCAGTAGTAAAAAGTGGTGGACGTATATTTTTCTCTCTTTCTCCTCAAACGTTACATCGCGAGGCCTTCCTCATCTTTTGTCTTTCTTTTTAAATAATAAGCGTACTATCAGATGCTGTGACAATAATTGTTTATAGGAACACTTATAGGCACACATTTCATTTACTCAGGACATGAGAACTTTTTCGTCTGCTTTTTGATGTTCAAATATTTCTTTCAGAAAGAAGTTCGGAGCTGTCGAGCCACCAAATAAAATGTACAAGTAATGTACTACTACTTGTACATTTCATTTACTTAGACTTCGTGTACTTTAGGATAATTCAGTTACAAAATCGATAATTTGATAATTGCAAAATATTGTTAAAAATTAAAAAATACCATTAGTTTTCTTTTAATTTTTCATGAATTGGATTTTTTCACTTTGATAAGAAGAACTAGTGAAAATTTGAATATTTTTTTCCTGTTGAAATATTCTCTAGTCAGTATTTCGCAACAGAAAAATAAAAAAGGTAAAATCATTTTTTTTGCTAGAATTAAGAAGTTTCTCATTAAAATCAATGACATTTTTCTGATTCAATCACTATTTTTCCACCTAACAAAACTTAGCAAGGAAAGCCACGCCGATCCCAAATTGCATCAAAAAGAAACAAAAAAACAAACCCACAAAAACCGTCACGTGGTCAACACGTCATTCACTGGTAAATTCAGAATTTTCTTTCTTACCTCGTCGAGGTATTCATCATTTATCTCTCAACTGTAGCAGACAAATTTAACACATAATACTCCTATATACTAAACAGGGGACAAGAACATAAGACATGGTCGAAAAGTCCGTTGCTGCCAACGGTGGCAGCAGCGGCGGCGGCATTTGCGGAGGTGGATCCAAAGAAAATTCCTCTCTTGTCAGTGGATCATCGGAACCTGTGAAACTCAAAAAAGAACTCGGACTTTTTCATGGATGTTGTTTTATCGTAGGAATTGTTGTAGGTTCAGGCATCTTCGTCTCTCCAAAGGGTGTACTTTTGGAGACTGGTTCGCCCGGCTTGTCTATTATAGTATGGGCCCTATGCGGTATGATGGCTCTCGTCGGGGCCATGTGCTATGCAGAACTCGGAACTTGCATACCAAACTCCGGAGCTGATTATGCCTACATAAACAATATATACGGTGGATTCCCGGCCTTTCTTTACCTGTGGGTTGCCAATATCATTGTGATACCAACTGGTAATGCTATTACAGCACTTACTTTTGCCAACTACATTTTGAACCCATTTTTCCACGATTGCGGTCCCCCGACTAAAAGTGTTACTGTGCTTGCTGCGACATGTGTAGGTAAGTATCTATGTACGTACATAATTGTAAAGCCCCAGCTAAGAAAAATGAACACACACGTTTATTCATATTCTCTTCTTTAACGCAATTTTTGTTCATTAATGCTGTCATTATTTTTAGTAAATTTGTTCTTAAATTGACCATGCTTTATTTTTCCCTCCATCCGTATTTTCAAATTTTTTTATGACATCTGCACTGCTGATTTATTGCGTAAGCCAATGTAAATAATAAAATAAGGTAATTAAAAACGGTAAACGTAAAATAAAAACGAAAATAAAATTAAAAAAAAAAGAGTTAAAAATTACTGAAAACATAGCATTAAAGTTTTTTTTTATTTATTATTGAGAGAAAAATAAACTGGGCAAATTTTTTAATTATTATTATTTCAAAAGCATTGTTTTCTCTTTTAGGCTTCGGTATGTTAAGTTTTCCGTCAATTCAGTCATCATTTTCAGTCACTACACGTGGCCGCTTATAGGCGTTAATTCTTTAAAATCATTTCTCCGAGTAATATAATTTCTAAACAATGAAATATTGAGTAAGTTAGAGTGATTTTTCTTCTCTTATTTATTTAAAAAAAAAAATAGTTTCTGTTTAATTATTCGAAATGGAGCTGTAAATTTTGTCTGGATTGGAGAATTTGTGTTTCTATTTCTCATCTTTCGCATAAATGCTACAGAAATATTTAAAAAAAACCCCAAAAAACAAACTAATAAATCATTTGATTTTTATTTTTTAGTTAAAAAAAAAAAGAAATGCCTTTTAAGCGAGTAATATTCATAATAACATATTTATTAAAAGTGCATTTAATCAATTGAATTATTAAAAATAGGCTGATTTTTAAAAAAAATTTTTTAATGAAATACGAAAATAGCTTTTTTTTTGTTTATAGTTTCGTACAAGTTATAAAACTCGTTTATTAATCTGCTGTTTTTCGCTTGTTTCATTTTTTTTTTTCATTGATAAAAGATGAAAATAGACTTTAAGCTGAAGAATTTAAAATTAAACCTTTTACAAACTGCCGGTCCTACAGGGGAAATTAAAAATATTCGTGTCCCTGCGCTAACTGTCCTAAGTTTTTAAGCTCCCAACAATAATTATGAGAAGCATAGTGTCTTTTCTTTATTTCTTCGGATAAAGATTAGCATTTAAAATCGAGAAACCCTACCTTGAAAAAAATCTTCATAATTGATGCTATGATGACTAGTACGTTTTTCTTGTAGTTACATTTTTTTTAAGTTACTACTAAAAAGTAAAATAAAAAGGGAATCTGTACAAGTGCGTTACTTTTTATTTTTAGTGTTGAAAAAAAAAAGAAAAAAAAAAAGCTTCACTTACGTGAACTGACTTGAAAAATGCGCATAGTTGTTGAATATTACAAGATTCTTTAATTAAAAAAGAATACCCTGCATTAAAAAAAAAAAAAAAAAAAAAAATGTTTTAAAGTATAATCAAACTTTGGATATTTAAAAAAAAAAAAAAATTAAAAAAAATAATTTGAATGCAAATGAAGTTTTTAGGCATTCATTTAAAAAAAAAAACCCCAAAAAAACATTGGCACGTTCACAAATCACTCATCGATACACCATCATAGGTAAAAAAGAACTGTAAACAAAACCTTTTTTAAAGCTCTTTAGAAATCCAATATTTTTCCGAGTGATGTGTTTTAAAGTCACTAAATTTCAAGATTAAGTAAAAGAAGAAATCCTTACTTTTAATGAAAATAACGTTTATTTAAGCGCGGTAACTTGTGATGCCATAGGTCAAAACAGAAGGTGTGTAATTTCACCTCTGACTGAAAAAAGTCGCGCGAAATTTTAAAAATAAAAACTAAGGAAATACGGAACATCAGCAGTACAATAATCAGGAAATTGGTATTTATGTTTAAAAGTAAATTATCTTTGTATAACCAATAGTTTAAGAATATAATTTTTTATACTATATGTTTTTATTAAACTTAGCAGAATGAATGATTTTAATTTTTATTAATTAAATGTATAAAAAGGAAATCTGTTTGAGTTTGATGTTATAAAATATTTAATTGTACCCAATGAGGTCTACTTTTTAATTATTCTTAATTTAATTGAATTATCATATATTATTCTTCCGATAGGTAAGAGTACAGTAGTTAAAGAATCATTTCTTTTTCAATATCTGTACCAAAAATAATCTAACAGTTGCTAAAATAAAAACAAAACTTACAATTCTTTTTTTTTTTTTTTTTGAAAAGAAAAAAAAAGGTTACACTTGAAAATGACCTTAAACTTTACATTTTTTCAATTCTTCATCAAATATCTCTTTACTTAGGAAAATCTTGTTATGGACAGCAACAAGATGAATTTGAAGTTCAGAATCATATTGAAACATTACAAATAATTTTTTTTTAAATTAAAAAGTACACACGAAATATTAAAAGGGGTGGGTGAAGCAATCCCCCCCCCAAATATTTCCACAACATTTTCTAATGAGATAACCGATTCTATATGTAATTCTTTTATTAATGAAGAAGTGCTGGAAATTTCATTTGAATCAGATAATTCCCTGTTTTTTTTTTTTTTTTTTTTTTTTTTAATGGGGCAGCAAATTTTAATTTTAGAAAAAATGCATCATTTGGTGGTACCTATATCTTCACAAAAAATATTTTTTTATTCCTAAAACTGTGACTATTTTCTGCCTTGGCAAACTACAAGAGAAAGAACATTACACTCTGCAATATTATACATCATACAGATAGAATAAAAGATGTTTTACATTCAGGACAGTAACTACCACTGGTGATCAGTGTATTTAACTATAAATCTTAATAGGATAAAAAAAATGATTTTGTTTCTGAGTTGAAACCCATTGCCTGTAAGTTTCTTAGTAGAGATTGAACTTTATATAAATTAGTATAAGCTTTCTTTGAAGTATAAATTAGTACAGTTAATAATGTTTTTGAATAGCAGAATTGACAAATGAATTGAAGTTTTTTCTTGTGGCTTCTCTTGCATAAATACATTTGTGAATGTTTTCTATTGAACATTCAAATCCAGAGGAAAAGGATTTAGTAAAAACTGAAATTTAATTCCCAGCTTAAAACTTATAATATCTAGTGAAATGCCAACACATACTATGATGATGAGCGTGAGGAGGGTGTATGGCCTCGTGTCAATAAAGGTTGTTTTTTTTAGTCAGTGAAGGTGACTTGAGAACACCCTCAATTGGAAACTAAGTGAACTTAGGTTCCTTACTTGACCTAAAAGTATTTGTAACTGCAAGGTTATTGAAACCTGTCAATGTATTGCACACATTTGGCTGTAGTGCATGTGCCTGGTATGCCCTTATCAAACTGGGTGTCATGATGGGTACACTGGTCTTTGTATATTTGTACCCCATTGACACTTTATTAGCATGCCACCCTCACACTCAATAATGATGATGTGTAAAAGATTACAAATTAGCAACAATTTCTTATTTTCATCTTGTAATGAGGACCAAATGTTAAGCTACTAAATTATGTGATGAGATAAATAAGATGATTATTAGGCCATTTTCTTAGATGCTACAATGTCTGATTAGCTTAGAAAAATATTTTAAAATTTGATTCTCATTAAACTGTGCCACCGCAAAAAACCTTTAAAAAATTGTTATTCCATGGTAAGTTTTTGCAACTAAAACAAATGTTGTCACACTATTTAGTAAATCTAACTTTAAATATCTTAGGAAAGTTTCCCGAGCAACTGGTTTTAAACAATTTAAATGCTTTCAATAACATAACTGAAAACTTTAAAATGTTGCCAGTTGATATGCAACAATTCTGTTTCAAAATCAAACTTTATTTTGTAAATAAAGATAAAAAGAAATCATCTTAAACATTTTGGTGATTGTCAATCTTGGAGATTTACACGTTTTTCATCTAAAATCTTTTGTAGTCTTAAATGAACATCCCTTTTTCTGTATTATTGATAAACTAGAATTAATTTTGAAAGACTAATTGGAAATTCATTTTAATATTTTATTAAAGGATTCAATTTCTCTTTTTAAAATCTGTCAGCCATTGAATCTTTCTACATATATCATCTTCTGAGTCATCCTTCAAGTTGGTTGACATTTTAAAGCTTTTCAGTTGGATCCCAATAAACATTCTTGTTATGCTGTTTGCATCATCATTATTATCATTATTAACGTAATTATTTTACTGTTGCACATTGACATAGCGAATAGAATTTTTTTCATAAATGTTCTTTCAAGTTTCTTGATGATGTCCCAAGCACTTTTTTTTTTAAATTTTTATTATTGTCTAATATTTTGATACAAATGAATTAGATTGTTTGACAATCACACTGATATGACAATTATTTTCATGAAAATTAAATGCTTCTTGAGTTAAACATGCAATCTTACTAACAAGTGTATAAAACCTGTGTTATTGCCTCTTACACATACACATCTTGTCAGTTTTGATGAATACCTTGTTTTGCTATAAAAATTTGAATAAGTTAAAATTCATTCTGCTTTTCTGTCAAATTATCTTCAAAATGTACCAAGATAATTTCATTAGGAAACATTCAAATCAATGCTTTGTTAAATATTTCTAAATTTATTTTGATATAGTAATATTTTTCATTTGCTAGATGAAATTGTTGTAAAAATGCAGAAATAATTTGTATATTTTAGGCTTCCATAAGCAGGGGAGGCATACTCCATAAAGACATCATTGTCACATCCAGAACAAAGAGTGACATTTCTGTGACAGATGCAACAAAATATAAATTCTTTTAGAAATACAAAATAATAGTGACTATTTATCAAATTGTCCAGTGGGATGTTAGTCAATAATACTAGTTGGAAGTTAGCCTTTAACATTGGATAGCAAAAAGCATAAAAACAGAAAATCATTTTTGATGATAGAAAAACAAAACAACAAAGTCTAAATATATGTCAAGGCAATTTGCTGCTTTCAACACCACGAAAAGAAATACTGATGAAAAATATGCCTCTACCAGAATATTAATACATAC